TAGGGAGGCAGACGGCTTCTGACTTGGCCACCTGGTTTCTGTGACCAAGAGCTCTTTATAACATTTTTCTGCACCACTGTAACTTGCAGATCTGGGTGCTGATCATTGGAAGAAGCACACAAATTCAGCCCATTAGTGGCTCAACCTCGTTTCCCAGCGCAAGCATGTAACACGAGAGGAGAGTGGGGGATGGTGGTGGTGGGGAAAGGCTGAAGCATGAAAATGATAGAGACAAAGATACCCATACTGGAAGGAGATGAAAACCAATTTCCACCCTCCTGGGTGGTTGTGGGGTCCCTCTCTGACAGCCCCACGGCAGAGAGAGGTGATGGGAGCATGGGGCGTGGCAGCCCTTACCTTCTCATTCTTCCTCTCCTCGGTCTTGCCAGCGGGTCCAGGGGTGGGGGGTGCCACCCCCCCCCGGGGCCCCGCTCCCCACCTCACCATTGAGGTGGGCTGCACTGACGTTGGGCGGTGTGATGGCAGCAGCAGCAGAGGTGAGGGGGATGAGGGGCCGGGCCCCCGGGGCGGGCGGCTGATGGCCGTGCTGTGGGGAGACGGCAGGGTGAGGCCGGATGGCTGCTGCTGGCAGGCGGGAGGGCGAGCTGGGTGTCCGCAGGGGAGAGACCGTGGCGGTGGGACGCTCTGGGGTCGGCACTGGGGGATGAGCTGTGGAGGGAGGACAGAGCAAGGTTAAGGGCCGCGCCATGTGCTGCCAGATCTGGCCCTTCAGTGACCATCACAGCTGTCAAGTGCCAGGGCCCAACAGGTTGCTAAGCTTAAAGTCTTAACCCAGGATACCACAGCCTTCGAGTTTGGGTAAATTCTGAAAAATCCCCCTCTCAGCCTGTCTGCAGTCACTCAAATGGCTGGCCATCCCTAGTGATGTGGAGTGGCATGAACATCCCATGTTTGAAAATAAATAGCAAGTCTACCGCTTTTTTAAAACACCTTATCTTATTCCAGCTGAGCTGTTTTCCAGACCTCTGAGACCCCCTCCTAACCTGACAGGTTTCAGAACAACACAACATAGAATCATAGAATCATCAAGGTCAGAAGAAACCACTAAGATCATCTAGTCCAACAATCTACCCAACACTACCATGACCACCAAACCATCCCCCGAAGTGCCACATCCACATGTGTTTTCAATGCTCCCAGGGATGGTGACTCCACCACTTCCTTGGCAGACTGTTCCAAAGTCTCACCACCCTCAGAATAAAGAAATTTTTCCTAATATCTAATCTAAACCTCCACTGGTGCAACTTGAGGCCTTTTCCTATTGTCCTGTCATTAGTAACTTGGGAGAAGATAGTTGCAGAGAGCAATGAGGTCTCCTCTCAGCCTTCTCTTCTCCAGACTAAACAATCCTGGCTCCCTCAGACCTAAAGGGTTAGCCCAGATGATCCACATTGACCTCAAAGACATGGCAATTACAAAGAAAGCTCTCTTGTTTTAGCACTAACAAAATGTTCAACAGCACATCACTGTGCTGCACAAGATAAATCAAACAGACATCCATTGGAAGATTTCTGACCTCAGCCTTGTCTCTGCCAGCAAACTCCCGAAAGGACTACACAGTGCCTTTTAGTCTTGTTGCCCTACTGAGAAAATCCTGCCTACAAGCACTGAGAACCAAGAATTAGCACTGGTCTTGTTTAATGGTGATGATGACACACTGCTGAGGTCAGCTCTCCAGGGATTCGGGAGCCTGTTGCATGCCTCATGTAGCAAAATGTGTGACAGAGCCCTAGTTTCTTTTTCACGGCAGTGTTACCTTTGACTTCCAGGTTGGTTGCCTGCTTAGGTGTAACCTCAGCAGATCTAATTCAAGTATGTACAGTCCAGAAGCTGAGTCCACACTCAGACATTTCCTCACCTAAATGTTTCTGTAGTAGAACCGGCTGGAATATGCTCATTTCAGGAATGATTTCAAGGTTTCATAATCTGGTTTAGTTTTGCCTCAGTGCAAAATTTGTACCTTTGAACATTTTTCTGAGCACAACATACTCATCCAACCCTCAGTAGCCTATATTTTGGTCAGGTGTCCTGGGATGTGCAAACATTCAGTCACTGCACTGTTCTCCTTTGCAAAGAGCAGCTCTGGGCAGTTGTCTATACCCTATGTAACTTGGGCCAGGTTCAAGGCTGAAGTCCGGCTGAACTACATCCAATCCTGACAAAAGGCTTTGAGTCCAACAAATCAGTTTTTCTTTGACCAGGAAGCATTTTTCTTGAAAATATCTGACTCAGTCTGATCTGTGGGTTTCTTATGGATTCATTTTAAGGATACATTTTCACACAGAACCGGCTGGAGTTCACTCAATCTATGACTAAATAACAATGTGAGAACAACTCAAACAACTATTTTCTGTTTCTGTGGTTAACAATGGCACTCAAGGACCGAAACGATAAAGAGTGCCATTACTCATACATACCACACTGGCTGAACACCTCTGCCAGGAGGGAATTTCGACCCCCAGGCTTATGCCCTATTATCAGAAGCAATATGAACATATTGGGCCAGTGATCATCAGATTAACACCTCCAGAGTTTATGTGATTCTCCCTCATGGTAACTCCTTGACTAAATAACATCTCTTCTTATTAATGCTGCCCATAGCAAATCAACTAAACTATTATTAACCAGTCTTGATGTGATTTTATGATGTGATTTTATGATGCACGAGGAAGGATCTAAAAGTTGTTGTTACAGATGCCTTCAAGAGTATTCTTACTATTGGTTGTCACTTCCCCCTCACTGGATTCCCAAGAACATATATTGGAAAGCGCAATTTCCCTCGAGAGAGCCAAGCAAGGCACCACTGGTTATCTCAAACTGATTCCCTCCTTCTGATTTTCCCATTTGGAACCTTTGCGAAGAGCAACCACTGCTGACAGAAATCTAATTTTCCAGGATGGTTAAGCTTGTAGGGTCAAGGTTTTGAGCTACTGGTTGTAAGGAGCAATGGCTTTCCTAAATTTAGAGGAAAAGCACGATAATGGAATTCCACTGCGTGTACCTGGATGCAGAAGACTGGTTTGATAATAGTAATAGGTACATTACTTCCTTCATATAGGACTTGGTGTTTCCAGACACAAAGGCAACAGAAAACATGAGAAACAGTAAAATAAATGGCCTGAGAAAAATCAACTCTTAGCAGAGCTCTCACATTTTATTCTGTAATTTCATCTGCTTACTGTTACAATGTATGCCTTTGCTCTGGGATCTCTGGATCTGGACTGTGCTGCATCAAACATGCTATTAATTAACAATGCTCACTGAAGGCTATTTTTGTTCTACACCACTCATATTTCATTTTGGGTGTATTCCTACATTAGTGGCCTTGTGCAAAATTGATTTGTTACTCATGTATACTTCAAGCCAACAGAAACGTGATTTGAATACTGTGCCAGCTCTCTTGCAAAGCTTTTCCAAAAGTTGCATTGCCTTGTCCTGCAGGACTAAAGAGACCTTTTCAGGGGCTCTGGTCCACAGGTTACTGGTGGGAACAGCCATTATGGAGAAGATTTCATGACAATCATGAAAAACTTCATTTATCCTGGCCCAGGTTTATTTAATTAAAACAACAATCTCATGAACCTTCTGAAAGGTCTGGAGACCTCCCCACTTAGGAGGTTTTGGAGCAGCTATATGGTCCCTGGATCACCCTGCCAGCCAACTTCTTGGCACTTTGTCAGAGTGAACTGGAGGAGCAGTCATAAATCAGAGAAGCTGCTGGAGGTGTAGTACAGCAGCACTGTGAAAGGAAGGTGTGGGGCATGACAGGTGTGTGGGGCAAAATGGTCTGTCACCTCAGTTTCAGGGGAGTCTCTCTGTCTGGTTGGCATGTTCACAGGAGGCACCAGAAGCCCCCAAAAGCTTCCTGAGAGCCTTGTCCAAGAGGGGACATTTCTGCCTTTCCACTGTGGGAAAAGAAGGGCTTTTGGAAGGGTATGACTTGTCGAGAGAGCAGCACTTTCTGAACTAGACAAGAAGAGGACAAATCAATTATTCTCTAGTGTGACATGGATGCTGTGTAAAGGTCTGACACTGTTGAGCAGTCTGCACTTTTCAAGATTCAGATTCACAAGTATTTGATTACATTTTCTTCCCTTTGGTCTGGGCTGTGTAGGAGGCGAGATTAAATGGCCATAATGGTGCCTTCTGGCTTCAAAAGTTATGAATCCATGATTTATGCTCCAGTGTATATCTCATTTGTGCCTGCTCTGTTTTGTATCTAAGACCTCAGTTTTCAGCACAGTCCTTACTGATCTTCCTTTGTAAACACAATAGCTCATATCCCTATAAAATGTAAGAAACAAAATGTTTTAAATTTTGCTATAAAGTTCAATCACAGCATTTACTTTTACTTTATTCAACATCAGAGCTGTTTAACATCAGGGAAA